GAAGTATTTTTTAAACAATAATGAGTAAGTGAAAGAAGCTAACGTAGCTGTTTTGTGCTTTGGGAAGAAAAGTAAAATGAGAAAAATTAACCTTTAATTTTGTGTTGCTAATAAATTGGGAATGATAACGTAGTAAGAATGATAGCTAAAAGATTGAAAGTCTTTTAGACATGATAACCCTAATTGGTTTACTTTCATTCCTAAGGCAAGATGCTCACGTGGACATTCGGACCACCACTGGATTACAACGCTATATTGGCATGTTGTAAATAACTCAGCCCATCTCTTGCTTAAGGCAACAAAGGCATCCAGAAGAACGTTGTATTGCTATGATGAGATAGGGTTACAAGGCTTGAGTAAACTTGTAGGGTTTCCTATCGTTCAAGCAACATATGGCAGATAAGACAATTATCGGATGATCCGCACAAACGGCTGAGGATTATCAAGGGTAACCTAAAGACGATTTTGAAAACCATTTGTAAGAATTGTTTAGCAAACAACTTTGAAATGAACATTTTGAAAATTGTTAGAAATTATCATTTGCAAAAAAAAACTGAAGTGCTCCATAAAAATGTTCATCACAGAAACAAAATAAAAGTTTTCTACATGTAAACCATAAGTTCAAACGTCTAACGTCTTTGTCAAAAAAATTGTTGTCCTTAATTCATTGAAATCACCTCACAGACATATTTAGCTATATTGCGTAATACTCACTAGCATATTTGAGTGACAGACACATAATTAGTATGCAGACTCTTCTAATCACTTATTCTACTGCATCTTACGCCATTACCTGGAGTGGCTGCACGCAACCTTTTTAAAGAGCATCTTGCAAAGGAAGACAGATGTTTAAGTGTGTTGCAATGTAGGAAAGGTAAAATGTTGCAAGACGGCTTTCCTTTGTCACAACATCTAAATCTTTACTGTTCTGATAGTCCTTTCCTATAAATTGTCATGATAAATTGTTTGATTTCATGTTTTCATGATAACATGGAAAATATCTGCATATATTAGGAGAACTAGGTTTTTCTTGCCTAACCCGCTGTCATTTGAATGGAGTCCGAGGAAGCCTCATATACTATCGATTAGCAGTCATTACTGTAACGCTAAGGATTCGCATAACATTTGCATAATGCATAAACAGGTTGAAAGAACGAAAAACCTAAGAGTTTATGGGATGAATGTGAGTTTATTCAGAACGTATGGTTTCAATACTAATCTTCACTAGAGGGCTTTAACTGGCTACACAGAAAAATCAAAAGTTTATGAAAACTGTGGTTCAGGCATGTGCTTCAATTGCATTTTGGTTTCGGATGTGATAAAACAATGCAAGATGCAGAAAACTGCCCATATCTCAATGTCAATGAAATTTTTGAAAGAAAAAATACGATTTTTAAAAGTGCGCAGCCTTTTCCGCATCTCTATCTCTGTTTAGATTTTCTAAAAAAGTGAGGTAAGTAGGCACATATTAATACGTTTAACAGCGTGTGCGCGAGGCGAAACTGAGACATCAATGAAATGTCAGTTCCTTATCTTATTT